TTATGTTTCGCAGTTGTAGATACTTTATTATTCTTTTATTATTTCTATCTAAATCCTATCTAAAATCCGTCATCACAGTAGTTACGTTGTTAGAGTTTATTAGAGTAATGACGTAACTATGTTATTAGAGTTTATTAAAGTAACGATGTAATTGCGTCGGTAGAGTTTATTAGAGTAACGACGTAATTACGTAGTTTTTGATTAGTTTTTGATTAGTAATCGCTAGGGCATATTTAAAGGGGATAAGGTTTTTTCTCAGACAAAGTAATTTTTTGTTTTTTCTGCTAACCCGATTTTGTCTGGTTTTTTCGTCCCGCCCTTTCTCACCCTCGTGGTGCCGAATAGGTACTGCGGGTAAGCTGTGAGTAAGCTTGTTTTTGAATTCTGTTTTTAGTGCGGATTTGGCCTGTCGGACGACAGCCAAATTCATGTTCAGTAGGAAGCCTGTCGGACGACAGCCAAATTCATGTTCAGTAGGAAGCCTGTCGGACGACAGTCACAAAAATTAGTTGTTTTTTGTTTATAGTTGGTTTGGATTTGGCCTGTCGGACGACAGTCAAATCTAATGTAAGTGGGCTATCGGGGCGATAGTCACAGAGGAATTCGCATACGGATTAATGTTGCACACGGTGACACGTTTATTTGCACTTATGTGTGCTTTTATTGATATTTTTACTTGCACTTTTGCGCTTATTTGCACTTTAGTTGCACGTTAACGATACTCTTAATTTCTGCGTTGATCTAGGAAGTTTGCACGAAGCAGCAGAGACAGAATACCCATAATTGTATTTCATTGTTTGTAAAACACCCTCTCGATGAGAGACAAAAAGCATCTGAAGGTAAACCTACCTAAAATTGCTAATAATTCATCAACTTCAAACCGACATCAAACACGATGTGTAAGTGATGGTTCACGCGCGGGAGCCGCGAAGTTTTTTTTGGATCCCGCACGGAAGTTTTAATATGAGACTATTTGTTCTGCATTAGCGTATCATCTGGCCTGCATTAACATTGATGGGCCACTTTCTAATATACATAAAATTAATGCGCATGCATTTATACGTAGAACTTTTTATTTGTTTATATATATGTGTATACTTGACTTAATTTTTTTTGCCATTGGTAGTTCTTACTTACTATTCCTTATTATAATAAATATATAATAATTATAAAGTCATTCTTTAAACAACCTTATTATAACATGGGTGTTAATAAAGTTAATAAACCAATTTGACATCATGTTAAAAAACTTGGATCAGACCCAGACTATAAACAAGGGTGTGCTAAATGTAATTATTGTGATCATATATGCAATGAATCAATTGTAAGGTGTGAAGAACATTCAAAGTATATGATTATGTTAGTTTGGATATTAAACAATAATATTTTGAACCTACATTTCAAGAACTAAAAAAAAGAAATTCGACAATTAATATAAATAGACAAAGAACTTCAAATTTTAAAAATTTTCTTAATATAATCTCTCACGCGGAACAAGATGGTATTGGTTTAACAAGAAATTATATTTCTAGTGATAATCTTTATACCTATTTTTATAATTCGTAAAAAATTAAAATCTTTACTATATTCCACAGATCCTGCGCTGGATTTTTAAAAAAACTGCGATTTGCCTATCACTATCTGCATCAGTGTAGGAAAATTTTAATTTATTTCAAACGAGAATATTCACACTAGCGACTTATTTAAGTAGACTACGTAGAAAATATGGAATACATTAAGAGATTTGCACAAAAACTTTAAGCATTTTTATGCGCCTGCATAATACGTACGACGCATAATATGTATGGCACTGGAAATATAAAAGCCTCGATCTATCCATATAAAGATCATACGTATGGCAAGGGTACATAAATGTAATGGCGTAAAAATTTTAAAAACTTCAATACGTAGAGATAATACGTATGTGGATTAATAGAATGTTAAAATATATCCTAATTTTTTTTATTGCTTCAATAGAATATAAAAGCACTTACGTACGTACAGTACATAACTTTTCTGACGAATTTTGATATTTCTTTTAAATTTTATTCATTGATTTTGACAATGACATTAATACGGTCGCTTATAACTACTCTACCAATAATTGCAATTTTGTTGATGATTTTATATATTATCATCCTTTTCGTTTGGATTGTTCCTACAGCTGAAAAGTTAGAGAAGTCCATTAGCTCTAAATTCTATAAACCAATTCTAGAACAAAAGGATGGTGAAATAGTATTTCAATGTCATATTGGCACTTATTATGACGAAGTTTCTCATTCTTCTATTTTATCTCAATTATCGAGTTTCACTTCTATTGCTGGATTAATTTTTAATATAACCTATTATGGTGTAACTTCTAAGTTTAAGTTAACTACAACGTGCCTTCTTGATGATTTTTTAATTCTCACTTTTTTTCTAATTCCTGTCGTCTCTTGGTTTTTTACTACAAAATTCGCTGTTGTTTTTCATGCTTCGTTCATTACTTGTTTATCACTTTTTGTATTGTCTTTTTTAGCTGTTCTTATATTTACAAGCATTACTATTGGTTATTTTCATAGAGCGACCATATTTCATCAGTTAAATTATTTTGAAAAATCTGAAAAATCTAGAATACGAAGCAGAAGTTTAGGAAACCCCAAAAGAATAAGTGTTCTCGAAAAGAGCGATTTTTATTATAATAGACAATCGAATTATGAGTGGATTAAACATTTTATCATAGTAATTTGTTTTTTTGAATCAATTTTAATTATGATATATGACGTAAAGCAAATATATGATGAAGGAACACCAGCGGATGTAATTATAAATTTAGAACTTTTAAGATGGATTTTCGATATTATTTATTTTCTTTTGGTTTCTTTCGTATCTTTTAGATTTTTCTTTCGTAAAAAAATTCCCAAAAGAGCTTCATTCTGCATTATATTAGTTTCAATTATGCAAGTCTTTTTTGAATATGCTTTATATTGCACCCCTAAAGGTGCTGATTCGATTTTTTTATTCATTTTAACTACTATTTTAACCCGTACTATTTCATCATTCTTTTCAAATGATAATTTTAAAGATATTAGAGTTAAAGATATTGAACACTATGGAATCAAAAATTGTGAAAAAGAAAAAAATTATAAATTTGTTTTTTTACGGATTCTTCAAGAAGGCAAAATTTCTGACTACTTGGGTCATCAAAGACTTTATATACAGGTTAATGATAATGATGAAAAGATGAAAGCATATATTAAAAATATTCAAGAATTTTATCGAAAACAGGAGTACATATATGTCACAGATGCCTATAAGCAATTGACTGAACAGCTTGGTGGAAGAAAAAAAAGATGCTATTACAAAAGATTTATCAAATGTATTAATAAAGTTATCAAAACTGATTATGGTATGAAAGTTGAGGATGATGACTATGAATGTTATCTGTGTAAAATCAAAAAAAGTCATCCTAGAATTAACATCGCAACAACAGATAATCATTTTATACAAATTAAAACAATTGAAACAAGTGACAAAATCCAAATTACGGAAGATTCTACTGACTACGAAAATACTTTTATAGAAATTATTTCTGAAAAATTTAAAAATCCAGTCGGTATAACACGCATATTTGGTAGATATTACAACATTGTTGATAATGAATTTAATATACCGGGAACAAAAATTATATCTAAATATCTTTCTGAAAACAATGTAAAAGTTTATGCAAATGTTCTTGAAATGGGTTATTTTCAATATTTTGTTTATTCACATAGAGCATATAAGGATGACAAACGGAATAAAAAATATGATAAAGCAGATATAAAGATTAGTTGTGGTAATTATAATATTGTATTCACAAATTCTAATGTTAGATGGTATGTGATTCCGGGATTTGGAACTTCAATATATACAAAAAAAGACAATAATGATAGAGAATATAAAGAATGTAAAGCTTTAGAAAACATACTCAATAATATTGAGGTGCCGTCATCAATATATGAGTATTAAAAATTAGGTCAAATTGTTTTATTAAATTTCATCGTTACTATTTTTACTTTGTTATCGTTAAAATGTATTACTGTATAATATTTTCCAAATAAAAAGTTAATGTTTCCGTTCAATAAATTTCTTCAATAAACTAATGCCTTCGATCCTAGATAATTCAAAATAGATAGCTATATAGTATTTTTTATTTTTAATGTATTTACTGCAATTTTCTGCAGTTTTTCTACATTATTTATATCGATATGCAGAAGTAATTGCAATTAAAATTTATTACATGTATGTACAATTAAAATTATAATTACAATAATTCCAAATTATTAGAATTTGATTTTTTTGTAAATATAGTGAATACAAAAATGTTATAGTAAATAAATGCACTTTTTTAAAAAAAATTATTTATTTTTCTATGAGGATTAATAAGATGCTTTTTATAAACAAATATACTTATTAAAACATAAGAACAAAAGCATATGCACTGTTTTTTATCTATTGGAAATTTTTATATTTTTGTTAGTACGTGTAGTAACACGTTTTATTTTTTAAAATACAGTATTGCATCCAGTATCTCTAGCATTTCTTGTATTTCACTATTAATTTTCATATTTTGCTCTTTATGCTTTATTTTTTTTTTTATCCGATTAAGCATTTAATACAAGTTCTTTTTATTAGCTTTAGATAAATTATTTGGTTTTAAAATGAAGGAAATTTTTATTATTGTTTGATCAGATAAAGTACAATATCTGGAAATCTGTTTACTACTGTGATACCGGAATATTGTGACCGATCACGTGAAAAATGCACGAAATGCAATAAGTGCAATAAGTTACATTTATGATCGGAAAAGGTATTTCGGATCCAAAAGGGTAGATAAGGAATAAGGGGAGGATGTGAAGACAAATTACACATCCTTAAAGATATCACATAAATCACTGTAAATAGGTTTAATTAGTTTTAATAGATAATAAGTGTAAAGTTGCATTTTTAAGTGACGAATTAGTATTATAAATAAAGGCCGAAATGGCCCTTAGGAGCAGTATGCTTCATTGGCTTTATTAAAATACAAGTCCCAATACATTATAATGTCTATAATAAAATTCTAACACTATCCCTGTATAAACCCTGTAAACCCTTATAAACATCATTGTTTGTTCATGTGACTTACCCTACTTGTATTCATTGATCCAAAGCTTTAATCACCCACCAGTCAAACCTAACATCCTTTTTCAGAAAGGTTACTTATTATATATTACATGACATATTGAGTTGTGAAGTAACAGAGTCACAATCTTCTGAACCCAACACTACCCTTATAGGTTCTATTTTCTGTACTTCTATAACTATATATTATAACTTTAAATTAATGGTAACAAACAACTTAGCTACTCATCAAAACCTACAACTACCTATTACCTCAACTACTCAAAACAATTTGTTGCATCAAATTTTCCTACCAAGTACTGTCAGTACATGACTATCTCATCTTACTACAATTAACTCACAGGTCAAAAAACTTCAATTATATCTCTATGCAACTATAATTCAAGTAAATACACTACAGTCACAGGCCCAATTTGCCTAGATCCTTCATTACAAATTACACACTAGTCTTCTATAATATGGATATACCTTATTGGAATTATAATAATTCTAATAATAGCTTTACAGAATTGTCAAGTAACAGTCCACATAATCCACAAACCAACAATTAACTACATCAACTCTTTCCTGTACTAACATCAAATTCTACTTTTATCCTTAAAAACATAATTGTTGACTACTCAAACTACTATTATAAACTATAATTACTTACAATGGCATCAAAATTAAAGGTATCTATATTAAAGATTCTGACAACTACCCCTTTATAACAGAACAATCCACTTGTCTACCAACATACAACAATACAAACTGCATATCTAACCTCATGCACTGAATGACAACAACTTCTACTTTATCTGAAACAATACATTAGTTGAAAATAAAACTTACCATTTCATTTGATACTTGCAAAATGCAACAAATACAGCAAAATGACATGTCTTTAATAGAACTAATATTATAATAATATCTGAGAAAACACTAACTAGGACTTAACACATAAATTTCTTAACTATAACAACAAATCCAATATTAATACTACCTATTTCAAATATACACAATTAAAAAGTTTTAAAAATCAAATTTCTATTAAATAAACTACTAATACTATTAACTCTATATTACAGAAAATCTAAAATGTATATCAATCTTATCTGCAATTGTTGCTTTACACATATTAAAAACAACTTTCACTGGCTTAAATGTATAGCAAACCCTATATCTTTAAACTAAGTAATTTAATACAAACTACTTTCAAATTTCTTACTAAAAACAAAATTGAGTTACAAAAAATATCTACCTTATTACAACAACTCTTTTAAACATTAAACAGTATATGTAACCTTCTTAGGCTACAAGGCCTAATTCTAAACAACCTATTTGCAACAAGCAATATTAATTCAAATATGCTTGTTATTCTATTTTATAAAATATCAAATAAAATTTATAAACAAATATGAACAGAAAGATACAAAGCTATGTATCAAAATGACCTAATAACAAACATACTAATAATTACAACTCTAGAACACCAAGCTACAGACCAAGTAGTCATAACAAAATATGAAAAATAGGCAACTATTTTTTTTACTACTAATATATTTATATTCTATATTGCAACACTAAACCTAGAAGAGGTCTGACAGCCTACTCTAGTAGAGTTTTGGGCTGAGGATAAATTAGTTCTAGCTATAGGTCCAAGTAATAATTTATATAACTCATTTTAATTAATATAATATCAAATTGTTCAATAAAGACTAAGACCAAGCCTTACTTTTAAAAAAAAAAAAAAAAAAATTGGTAACAAACTAACAATACAATTTTAGCTAATCTTTATTGTCTAAGCATAGAAGAAAAACCTATTAGAAAAATAGCCAAAAAAAGAGTCAGTTATACAGTTATTTATAAAGTAATAAGAATGCTAATTATTTAATAAAAGAGACCTTTTCATAGCTATTGCATCCATGTGGCCCAAAATCTTTTTAACAGAAGTTCTTGTAACTGCTACTCTTACTTGCACAAATGAGATCTTTTCATAAACACTGCAGTTATAACTATCATTTATCTATTAAACTATCTGATCCAAATGCAATATAAAATTTGATAATAAAATATTCACTTATTACAAAGTTGAATTACTTATTATTAACAGCAAATTTGTATCTTTACAGTTTCAAAGAACTGCCTAAAAAATGTATGAACAAAAAAGCCCAATTGATATAGCATAAGATTATAACTATAATTGCTAAGCCTCTAAAACAATTACTGCTAACAAACCCAAAATAATAAAGCAATTTGCATTAACCTAATTAATAAAAATAAAGGCTAAAATGAGTCAATAGGTTAAAAATAATTGCCTTGTTGAATAAAGCTTGTGGTTATGTAGGTGTGTTCTCAATTAATTAAATAAGAACATTTATTGAAAGATAAAAAAGAAGCATTAAATGAGCAAGAAGTAAAGACTGTAAAGAAGTAATGAATAAAGCATTAAATCAAAAAAAATAAAACAGCTTGGATTCTAAAAAAAAATAGTATAAGAATTAAAAAAGAATGTTTAAAAAATCTCTTAAAAATTCATTATAAATAGACTGTAAAATACTTTTTTGTAATATGTATACCTTCTCTGCCTCAAAAATTAAACAAAATATATATATATAAATAATAATTCCTTAATTTCTTCTCAAAAAAAATAATAAAAGACCAAAAATTACAAAGTAAAATGCTCTTTTAAGACCTATTCACTTACTCTATCATAATCCTTTTTATAACACTTCTCTAATAATCAGTGCCAAATTATTTTGTTTCTAAAATGTTAAGAAATGTTATATAATATATTATGTTTACTAATAAAAATTCATCGCATTTCTTAGTTGTTTGTGTGTATATAATCTGACCAATCTGCCAGTTATACTATGTACAGAAATAAGCATATATATAGACTATCTAGTAAATTACAATGCAAACTAAAATTCTATATAGTATTTTTAATAATTTTTAGCATAGTTTATAAATGTTAACAAACAGTAAAAAAAAATAAAACTATAATAAAAATAAGATAAAATAAAACTACTATAATATTAAAACATTTTTAAATTCTATTTTATTAAATATAATAATATATAAATATATTAATATTTTTGTTTTATTACAATTAAAAAGTTTTTATTATATTAGAATTTAATAGTTTAAAAAAAAATTACTATTTATAATAGTTTTATTTTTTGATCTATACAAACCTTTAGATACAATTTTTTAAAGCCTATATCTTTAAAGATATTTGCCAATATGTATATAATCTATATAAAGATAAGTTATATTTTATTTTAAATAAAAATAATAAAAATTTAGATTAAAATTATTATATAGTTTCAAAATTAAATATCTTCTAAAAATAAGCATTCTGGCTCATACTATGCACAATTTGATCTGCATTATAACAATTTTGGCCTGCATTATATGCAAAAAAAAATGCTTAATTTTGGAACTTTATGATAACTAAATTTTTAACTATTGTTATAAAAAATGTTATGACAAATTGAACATTATCTTTTTTTAGAAATAGAGTAATGAAATTATAAAATAGATAGTTTATATAGAACAATAAATGGTATTTATTATTAAAATCTTAAGTTTGATTAGTTCATATGATTTATTCATCAAATTTTAGTTATTTTTCATATATTAATTTATTATGCATTATTTTTCATATAAGAATTCATTATGCATATAGATTAACTAATATACATGTATATTTGGATATATAATTACAGAGTAAAACATAAATACAAAAAATACAAACATAAATGATATCATATTTGCAATAACTAATAATAGTAAAAAAAATTTTAATACAAAATTTGGTAACCTGGTGCAAATTAATTTGCATATTTACTTGATATTTGACA